TTAAAGATTCCAATAAGTTGCAATAACAGGCCCTAGGCCACTGGCCCCAACTACATAGGGGCATTGGGACAGGTGCTCCCATGAGCAACCTCTCATGGGTGCTCGGAGCTCTCATAGGGAATGCGGAAGTACAAACGTATTTAATGGTCATTCCGTTCTGTGTGATAGTATCAGTATGATGTATGTTATTTAAATTTACACTTTGTATAAGGATTATACAAGTCGTATTAGTCTTAGATTAGGGAGGTATTAGTATTCTGTCCTTTCGTTATTTGTGGTCAATTTTATGCTCTGTGTTGCCAAAGCTACCCCGTTCGGGGTAGATCTACTCCTTTTGAAAACAACTTCGCCCTTCCGCTCCCCTCAACCAAATCTACCCAACTCTAAATACAATCTATGCTATAATACAAAAAGAATGTTTCTGCTTATCGCTAATTAAAAATACTTACAAAATCCAAATTATGAGAAGCAAGTTATATTTATTTGAACTGTACCTAGCAACAAGTTTTCTGTCTACGTCTAAGATATAACCTCATTTAGAGATTCCTTTTAGTGTCTCCTTTGAATTTGTGTGGTAATCTATGCAGAAAAATAGGTTAAAACATATTAAAGTTATTTACCTAACAGCGTCAAAAACGCATATGTCATAAAATTTTAGCTATATCATTAGCAAAGCAGTCTACTTTACCGCATACCTACTATACGGTGAAGTAACTATACCTCACACTTTGCAGCTTATTTTACCGCAGACTCGCAGACTGCAGACTATGCGGTAAAGTAACTTTATCGCATAGTATGCGGTAAAATGCTACTTTCCGCACGCTTGTAGGTGAAATTTTTGTTGCTACCCCGCACCGATTCTATTCTACCCCGCTATCTTGCCGTAATCTGCCCCAATAAAAAAAGACCTTGTTAATGTTGCTATTCTCCATCTCTATTCTTTGATAATAACCGGGACATAAGGCATTTTAGGACATAAAAGTAACAGGCATAATTATTTTGATAATGATGTGATATTTTCATGGCCTAAAATGCGTGCAGAAAAAAGCACTTTTCGCACGCTCGTAGAAAAAAATAAAAAATATACCTACATTATAAAATAGACGTTTTTAGGCGTGGCATCAGGAAAAAATGTTTTGCCTCCGCCGGCGCCTACGGCAACCTTCCCCCTCCCCCTATAAACAAATTTATAAAAATATTATCCTGTATCTATGAGGACTTTCAAAAATCGGCGCCTCTGCCAGGCCCACCCTAGGCCCCCCCCAGGCCAGATGGCTGGTTACGCCAGTGGTGGCTGACCAAAAATTTCCATGAGAAATGCACCAGTTATGATTTAGGTTCACCTTGTTCCAATTGGCTTTGAGAAAACTATACAGCACCTCCCAAAATATCCTATCCATTTTGGCTTGCATTGGTGTCTGATTTATTCTTTCCGCAACACCGTTACGTTGAGAAGTATATGGAAAAGTATAACTTACTGTCCGACTTTTATGATTGGATACCTACTCCAAAGGAATGTGAGTTGTAGGCTCCTCACGCCAATGGTCGCCTGACCTCACACCTGTTTTTACTGGTTTTTTCCTGCCATCGCTCCTCATATGGAAAGTGTCAAATTAAAAAAGCTAAACATTACCTAAATGCCTTTTTAGAACAAAAATAATATCAAGACTCAAGACCTTCATTTTGAATATAAGTTGTTTATCCAGAAACTCACGAAACATTGAAAAATCTAGTATAAATCACTGATCTATAAATACAGTAATTATGCGAAATAAAAACGAGTGCGCAGAGTTTCCTTGCGTAAAGTTGAACTTTGCACACGCGAAAGAGAGAGATATGAGATATTTTTATGAAATAAAAGTTTGTTGCTCTGGGGGGGGGGGGGGGCAATTGCCCCCTTTGCCCCCCCCCTGTATACGCCACTGCACACAGACGGAAATGTGCCACCTTGCCAAAAAGGCGTAAAATGATCCAAAACGTCAAGATCTAATGAAATTTTGACATGGTCAAAATCGGGCTATCACCATAGCTTCCTATTTAGGAAGCTAATAATACAGTTACGTCGCGTCGGTTGAATGCACAAGCTCAAATAAATGTGGCAACGTTGTTTCATGTTCTCAACAAAAAAAGTTGGGTCATGTATGTGAATGAGTTTGTTTATAATTATTAATTAATTTAAAATATTTTTTTCCGGGATAAAAAGTAGCCTATGTCACTTCCCTTCAGATAGAGACTACGTGGTTTAAATTTCAAGGAGATCGGTCCAGCCGTTCTCGAGTTATAAGTGCTTCCACAAAACACAACTGTGTTTTATATATATATATATAGATTTAAAGTTTTTTCCCACCTCGTATAGCTAAAGCTGTAGGTAGGGGTCAAAATATAAAGAAACACCCTGAACAGGAATGACAACAAGCAGCATCTGACAACTTTTATTTTCGTTCGGCAAAAGTGAGTTTCAAGGGTTCTTCACATTGGTCAGAAAAATGTAATCCTTTGCAAAAAACACATCGTGGGGTTCCTTTATAAAACAATTCAGATGCTATTGGAACAGTATTACTTTATGTGTTTATCCTCAGGCTTCCCTTAATCTTTAAAACTGGATACAGTAAGAGAACTTCACCATTTCTTGTCTAAGAAAATTCATTAAGATGACAAGACGCTTCTTTAGAACTAGCTGAGTAAAGCTGACTTTGGTGTCAAGGTCGTAGATATCAGATCTTCTCCTTAACAGGATTCTACTAACAGATAAAGCATCGCAATACTTATTTGTCAGAAAATGTTGATAATCTTTTTTTGCATTGAGATTTATTAAGACCAACTTAAGAAGTTCTCTTACATAAACTTCTATTAACACATCTTCTCTTCCAAATCTCTGTTTCAGACTGTCAACTGCTTTAGCATAATTGCCTTTAGTAACTGGGTAACTCTCAACCAACAGTTTTGCTCGAGAACCTTAAGTCGTAGCCTGCACTAAATATTGCAACTTATCCTCATCTTCTATGACAGAATCTTCATCAATTCGACTAACTTGGTTCCAAAATCTAAGCCAACTCTTGATGTCTCCTCCAAACTGTCTGAATTCAATTTTTGGGAAGTTTTAGTTTGGATTTAAATTTTGATTTCTGAGAGCTTGCATCTTCCTTAGACATCTTATCAAAGTTAAATTTGATTTTGTGATATCTAAAGATCAACTCATTCATATGAATTCTACTGCAGAATTCATACTTGCTTCCTGATTAACTGAGTTTAACATCAAGTCTAATATAAGTTAATTCAATTCGTTCAACTGAAGTATTTACTTGACTTAAATCGTACCTTTCTTTGGACATTTCATCTTCTACTTTATCACAGATCCTTGTAAAAGCTGTGTAGTACTAGGGCTTTCTTGGTTTTCTCCATACTGTTTTGTCACGGTCGCCAAATGTCAAAACTGATAATGCCTTTCATCCTCAAAGTCCACCTCTATCAAGTATAGCTATACCTTTGCAGCAAGAGCCGATACTAATACTTCCAAAAATACTGTTATTTTACAATGACAAATTTTCAATCATTCAATAATAATCACTGTGATTTCCCTGACATAAGTTTGCAATTTTCTGTTCAATTGATTTAAATTTTTATTATGTTTTGCCTCTAAGCCTTAAAAATATTCCCTCAAAGTCTTATGTTCGCACCTCAATGGTCAAAATGTGGAAGCATGTCATATTTAGTCTAATAGAAGAAAATGTCCATTATTGAAAATCTTGTAACTTTGCAATTTTTTTTTCAATTAATAGTATGTTTTGCAAGTGACTGACTATAGTGATTGTGAAAGCAAAATTTAATGCAAAATTTATGAAAAACTACAAAAAAATGTTTGAATTATTGCAGAAGCTGTAGAAGGCATATAGAGACTAAACTTGGCTTCTATAGATTATGGTGGAATCTGGAGAAAAAATACATGAAAGGTATCCAGATTATGTTGGGACATAGTATCCTAGATTAAAACAATCTGCAATCAATAATCCATTGAATGTGCCCGGATTAAAAGAGAAAAAAAAAATCAGCAAGAGCGCAACAGTATTGAAACGACAAATAAAAAAAAAACAGTAGCAGCCGCATAGTGGTGCATGCACAGAGATTATTAGAATCAGAAAAAGGTTCAGAGATCGAGAAACGTCATCTCTCTCGAGCCTACCAAATAGTCTTGAGTGGTTGGTCAAATTTGGGGCGGCAGCGGGTTGGCGCAGTTGGTTACTTGAGGTTAGTTCCGTTGCTGCTGGTCGGCGGCGGGGGCGGTCCGCAGGGCACATGCACCGTCACGCGCACTCGCGCTGCAAAACCACGGAGTCAACAACGCATGCCCAATAAAGAGACTTTTTTTTTACTCACAAAGTTGACAGTGCAGTGCGGTAAGTAACAGTAGTCGCTTTCAATAACAGATCTCTGGTAAAATGATTGATAACGAAACTGTTGTTACTGAAAGCGACCAATAACTACTTTTGTGAGTGGTGTCTTTCTCCATCGTGAAGCAGTTTTTATCATATCAAGCGATACAAAATGTATGAGAAAATTTGAATAAGGCTTGAAACAATAAAAACCTTATACACCTTGACATACAATTAATCTTTGGCATAATTCAAAATATCCAGTTGTATGTAATTTTATATCTGACCAAATTCCACATCAAAAATCTACCCTATAGTCTTAAAGTCCCATCAAAAATTTTAAAAAATCACACACAAATCTAATATTATTTTCATTGTGGGGACTGTTCAAAAAAAATTACAAAATGCTCTACTAACATTTGTGCCTGCCTAAAACTCAATTTAGGCAAACACGACTGTGTTTACACAAAAATTTCGTCACAACACAAAAACTAATCTACTTTTTTTTTTTTAGAAAATTAAGGAGGGCATTAAAAGTGTTCAAAAGGGCAACTAAAGAAAAGTGACAAAAAACATCCATGAAAATATTCCATTTAAAATAAAACAAACTATATCATGAATTACACGTACCTCCCCTTGGTACTCGCGCTGTCAAAGTTCCATTGTTCTGATCGTTGAAGACACTCTCGATGTCTGAAGCTAAATCTTTGCTGACGCTTCTTCGCCAAGGGGTGCTTGATTGTGTTGTGGTGTTGAATGTGGGACGACTAAAAGGCCTACTCAGTGAAGAATGTCTAAAAATAAATAATAATAATTCAGATGTATATTATTATTTTTAATTATTTGAGTGCTTTCAATGCCAATAATTTCTGTGCAATAGAAATATGTATATAAAACCTACCGCAAAAATTCTACTGCTAACTACGACTCACTTACGTAGCATTTTGCGAACGTCTCCTATAAAATATCTTGCAATGTGTGCTTGGAAAATGTACAAAAAAAATTGTGTACAAAGAAAAAGTACTAAAAACAAAAACTCCTTACCTAGTCATGGGATGGTCCATTCTATTCCAGAAATTGGTGCCATGATCGAATGAACTGAGCAATCTAGAGCTTGGAAAACCAGGCCTCACACTATCGTCCACATTTAATCTTTGAGTCAAATCTCTTACCTATAAAAAATTACATTCATTAAAAATAACTACAAAAAAAATCATATCTCATACTCTAGACAACAAAGTAGAAAACAAATTCTCAGCTGTCAATATTTCAAATCCTTCGTCGTCGTCTTCTTCTCCTGAACTAACAGAGTCGTTGTGTTCCAGAGCTGCTTTCTTAGGCCTTATTCTTCTCAATCGGTGCATGTGCGGGAAATTGTCCTTTTTAGAATCCTCGTTGTCGCTATCTTTACCGAAGGAACTGTGCCTGTGCAAAGTGGCAAAAGGAGATTCGTCTTCAGAGTCTCTGTCGCTGAAAAGTGAACTAAAAAACAACATTGTAGATTTTTTACCAGGCAAATTGAATTCTTACTTTAATCTTCTGGCACCCAATCCGAATTTGGTTTTACTTCTGCTTGTCATTGTGCTAGCGTTGCTAGCTGTGTCGCTTGGTTCTAAGCTACCAGCTCTAGGAGTTACATATCCTATAAATAATAGTTGGTTAATCAAAAAAGTACAACTCTTGAACATCTATATTTGAGTTTCTTACTTCAAAGCTAATTTTTTGGAATTTATTTGCATTTTTTTGGAAGCATTAGCATTATATGTAGTGGGTGTAGTGGGTAGGTACAAAAATATTGAGTTCCTGATCCCAATATTCCTAACTATTTATTTTTATATCAAACTTATGTGCTTTATGTTTCTATTGTTTCTGCTATACCACCATTGACAGTTTGAATATTTTTTTTTTAGTATAATATAGTAAATTTTAGGGGCCTTAATACAAAAAGCTTAGATGACAGATACCCATAACCCAACATAACGGATCTCTTGAACAAGTGGGACGCTGCCAGTATTCCACCACCTTAGATTTAGCTAGCGACTTCCACCAGATCCAGATGCATGAAAACGACATCGAAAAAACCGCATGCAGCACAGAAAACGGGCATTAAGAATTCTTGCGCATGCCCTTTGGTTTGAAGAACGCGCCGGCTACATTCCAAAGAGTTATGGATGATATTCTATATCCCAATATATTGAGCAACTTTAACACCGAAAGATATAACATCCCATGAATAATAGTTATTCATTATACAAGGGAAAAAAGTATTAAGATTTTAGAGCGAGATGTGGTTTGCCTCCCGTCGCGAAGCGGAGGGAGACAACAACAAGGTGGCCAAAGAGCACTGAGAATGCTGGAGATGGGACAGGGGAAATCGTTATCTTTCAATAAGTCGTTGAATTATTTCCTTTCCGTTTTCATGATGTACCAATACACTGGCCTTTTCTACCTAGTTTATTATGGAAAATGTATATACAGACTGGACAAACCTACTAGACACATAGGAAGTAATAAGTCGAATTGGCTTGTAGTCGGTTGGTTAAAGCAAAGGCCTTTAAATTTTATTAATAATTCAAAATGGAAAATATGTAATCAAATATACGTTATAATATAAGTAACATTCTACTATAAATTCTTATCAAAATTTGTTGAAATAGCCGCATTTCCGCTTGCTCCTATCATTAGAAATCCCAAAAATACCGTAAAAAGACCCAAAAATTTCGCAGCTGCGGCGTTTTTATTCTTGCAGCTGCCACTGCTGCAAAGATCACTTCCTACTAATTTGCCTCTTCCCTCTCAAGACAAAATCCTGACTACGCCAATGGTGCTGTCGAAACCTAGTATAGCCGAGCTGCCGAGGATGCACTAATTTAAATAATATGAAGGAACTTGCAGGGACAATCAATGATCCAGCGTGGCGATCCTGCAGTGAAATGGGTATCTGTCAACTGGTCCCATTTAAGTCTATGTATCTACTAGCCTAGTCCTATTTATGTTAATTTTTAGAGCCCAAGCCCCCATAGTAAATTTGAAATTCCGGTGCCTATGACCCAAAATATCACTTCTCACAATCAGTAAAGTTGTTCCCACCAGAACAAGAACTACACTCCCAAGATTAGAACTATGTGCAACTATTCTTCTTGCGAAACTCATGAGAAGAACTGTCACTGGATTATCAATGGAAGAAGTTGACAAATATGCATGGACTGATTCAATGATAACAATATCATCGATATATCGATTATACCTTATAAAAGTCATCTCACCATCAAGCTCATAATTTTCGACGCTCACAATCAAACCTTACATAGAGTAAGCCAGCTCTCATTGGCATATACAAGAAGACATTTTTGGATAATAAATGCCAAAAAAACTGTTAAATCAGTTATAGGAAAATGTATAAAAAGCATGCATATGATCCTCTTTTTTTTTTTGTATTGATGATACCTTCAAAATATCGAAATTTGGTTGAAATCTACAGGGGCCTATTTTCAATGTTAATCGCGCCTCTTTTTGACCAGTGATTTTTGTATAAATGGAAAGAATATTTGTGTAATTTCTACACCAGTACCATACTAGCAGGAGACGCGAGAAGGGCGCTGGAACGACACATCGACCTCTTAACTCCCTACATTCAACCCTGGAAAATCACCCTCAACACCTCTAAAACAGAACTTCTTACGCTTACCAGGAAGCGTACAAACTTTATCATGAACCCTCCTCTGACGATTAACAACGTCATAATTGAACCCAAAACCACTGCTAAGTACCTGGGAATAGTTCTTGACAAGACCCTCAAGGGCCACCCCCAGGTAGCACATACCCTCAGAAAGGCACAGATCTCCGAGCGTCTTCTGTCCCCCATCATGAAGACCAATTCTTTTCTGAGCCCTAAAAATAAAATCAGCAGCAGCGAGAAGAAAAAGCTCCAAGTATCCAGAATAAAATTCTAAAAAACGCGCTTTCCTTGCCAATGGACACCCGAACAGCTGAGGTGCATCGACTTGCTGGTATAAACACCATCCTCGAATACTTCAATGAAGTCTAAATCAAAATTTTTCAGCCGTTCCGCATACGGACCCACCCTGACCGCAAACCTTGCCACCTTCAAGTTCGACTCACACAACCCCGTTAAACACTGACCCATACACCATAGATTGCCAATATATTTCGGGCCGCCTTGGAGCGACAAGCAAATGTAAATTAATTAGGAACTGTTCATTAGAATAGTTCACTAGGATCAGCAATACCATTGGTACGCCGGGGTACCACCCACCTAATTTAATTACAAACGCTCTGCTCGTGAACCGGCGCAAGCTTTAATATACAGAATATACCAAAGAAACGTGAAGAAGGGTTTTTTTCAATTTTTCCTTCATGAATAACTTGGCAACTATGGAATGACAAGTGCTATAAATCTAAAACACGATATAAAGTCAAAACTGTGAATTGACCTATAAGGAGCACCACTGCGTGCCCCAGAAAAGAGTCATGGCTACCCTTATTATATTTCTCTCTAAGTTCGGGCCACAACATCGGCCGTGCCCTTTTGGCGCACATTAGAATTTAGGATTATTGTAGTAGGCTAAGGTAGTTTAAGTTTACATGTAAAATATTGAAAATAAAGACTAAATGCAAAGAATATTTGTATAAATCAGTGTATAAATTCCTACCTCCACCTTCTACTGCAATAGGAATGATATATTCTCTAGGCGATTTCTTAATTGGTTCACCAATCGAAGTGGTTTCTGAGTCAGAATCTTGAGTGGATTGTCTCGAGAGACTGTTTGATCTAAAACAAATTTAACATCAAGTTTTGTTATTTATAGCCAAATTATTACCTTTGTGAGATGGTTGATTTCTGAGTTTGAAACGGTCTGGGCATTGGAGGTTTGGCCGGTGGCGATTGGACAACAGCATCTTTACCGTTTTCCTTGAGTTTTTCAAAAGCGATTGGTATTATTCTTTCTTTTGAAGATCTTTCGTTTCCACTTTTAGCTTCTACATTATGAGCAGCTTCGGTTCTGAATTCGATTTGAGCTGGTTTCGGTGTTGGATAGTTTATTTGAATTTGAGCTTTAGTAGTTTTTCTACAAATAAAACATAATTAACACAAAAATATTATCACCAAATTGCCTTATTTTTACCTTCTAGGCAATGTGGCACTTTTCAAAGTAATTTCAGCATTGCTGGTTTGTGGTTCGTCAATAACTGGAGCTGCTGGTTCGTCTTTTACCTAAATTTGACAGCAAATTATCACAAACTCCAATAAAACAATTTAATTCTTACTTGTTTAGCTTCAGCAATCACAGGCTTATTTTCGTAACAAGGTCTTATGAATGGTTTAGGTCCTATGTTTTGAATAGGAGGGCTCAATGGAGTGATTGTTCCTATATTTCCCGAAGCTGACCTACCACTCACCTGGAAATAAAATAATTATATAATTGTTTTTCTTAGTGTAAAATAATCATTACTCCAAAAGGTACAGGTGGTTTTTTCATCATACAAGGTCTAGATTTCGATTTTCTTGTCCCCTCTATGTCTAAAGCATTTGAAATAATATTTACAGCGTTTTTGACTTTTTCTTGTCTCAAATCTTCAGTCTTTGGAGTTTCGTCTTCAAACTTAACTTCTTCTTTTTTTAATTTACTATCAACTTTTTGAGCCTTATCAGGTGTTGGTTCAAGTTTTTCTTCTTCAGATTTTTGTTTATCGATAAGAGTCCTTTTGGGAGCAATAGTCGTTTTGGGTTTTACAGGCACTGATGAAGTTAAGCTGGATTTTCTTTCAAATTCTTTTTTAAAACCGTCAACAGACACTCCTGAAAACAACCACACAAATTATTTAACATGAAATATTGACAAAATTTCTTATATTGTACCTACTCACCTTTAAAAGTTAGTTTTAAAAAGCCTCAACAACTACTCTTGTATGTATGATAAAACATGATAAAAGTTAATAAAATGAAAATAAAAAATATATAATATGATAATGGCCTAAATTTATTTGAAGCACAAAACCAACAATGACATACCTTGTTGTGTAACCATGCTGTCTATAAAATAAAAAATAATAATCAAAAATAAAATAATTATTAAGGAGGATTGTTAAGGCAAATTGTGTTTTTGTAGAAATATTAAAAAATCAAAAATAATACATGATTAATTACCTGGTATTAAAATTTTCTTTGGTTTGTCTAGGGGGCTGGGCTTTGGTTCAGTAGGACTAATGAGATTTTGGAACTTTTCAGCCGCTTCGAATATTCGCGATTTTCTTCGTTCTACTGGTTTAGAAGGAGTTTCAGTTTTTGGTGACGATTTTTCTTGACTACCGTTTTCTTTAGACTCCATTTTTTCAACTTCACTTTTAGTTTCTTTATCGTTTTCGTTCTTGTCAGCCAATATCTTCTTTTTAACCCCTTTAGTCTTTATTGTTAGTTTCTCTTTAGGTTTTTTAACAGTTTCTTCTTCCTTAGGTGGAGATTGAGACTTATTTTCTTTGTCAATCAAATTTTCTTGACTAGGAATCTCATTTATACCTGTACAAAATAAATTATGAACAATTTCTGCAACTAATAACAAAATAAAAATTACCTTCCAAAACTTTACCACTAACAATGGATTGTGTCCTTTTGATTTTAGATATAGATGGTGATTTTTTGGCAGCTGCATTTTCCTTTTCCCGTACTTCTTCCATAATTTCTTGACAAGCTGCCCCTGAAAATTTATTTTAATTACAATTTTCTTCCAATTAACACTCGACAGACCTTCAATCACTGGCTCAACATCCATATCCTTGGAAATAGTTTGCGTCAAAGATTTATTAAGAGGCAAAGCCTCAGACATACTATCATCTTTTTGTACAACAGCACCATGAACTGTGATATCAGCCACTGTATTTTCTTTAACAATTTTGTCTTTGCGTTTATCCAAATTGACTCTGTCCGTACTGACAGTGCTTTCCAATTTCCGCTTGGGACTAGAATTGATCATGTCCATGATTCTCTTTTCCGGACTAGTGAGCTCCATTAAACTGCCAACACTTTGAGATCTTGCAGGACCTCCTGCTTCAGATTGCATAACTTCAGATGCATCACTTGTAACTACAAGTTTTTCGCTTTCTAGTTGCGGTGCAGGTGGAGCTAATGATAAAAGTACATCTAATCTGACCTAGAATTTATAATAATAAATATTGCAGGAGATTATGGCAAAAATTAAAATATTTACTGGTGTTTGATTGGCTAGTTCTTCACTTATATCCAAACAGTTGTCGTCGTAAGTTTCATTTACCCACCAATGAGAGCAAATTTTTTCAATATCTGCCCTATTTCTAGGATTTACTGTTAACATATCACGGATTAATGGTGAGGCAGCTGTTAACAATAATAAATATATTAATAAATCACAAAAACTGTATAATTCTTACGGCTTGGTTTGGCAGGTTCGTAATAGTCGCCTTGAGATATTTGTTTGACTAAACGTTTAAAATTGCTACCATCAAAAGGCATAGCACCATAAACTAATGTGTACAGTAAGACACCTAATGACCAGCAATCAACTTCGGGTCCATGATAAGGAGTGCCTTTGACTATTTCCGGTGAGGCGTATAAAGGAGAACCACAAAATGTGTTGAGCAATCTTTGATCATCAAATACGTTTGATAGGCCAAAATCTGCAATCTGATTTTTTTGTTTTAAATAAAATATAAATCAACTTAAACTAGTTTTCTTGCCTTTGCGTTATTATTTTCATCTAGAAGGATATTTTCTAGTTTCAAGTCTCTATGACAAATTTTATGTTTGTGACAATAGTAGCTTGCAGTGGCTATTTGTCTGAATATTCTGCGAGCTTCTTCTTCTTGTAGGACTTTTCTTTCTGATAAATAATCGTATAGTTCGCCGCCAGCGGCGTATTCCATCACTAGCACCATTTTTTCACGATTTTCAAATACTAAAAAAATTTAAGTGTGAATACAATAGTTGTGCGGGGGCTTTGGTTATTATTACCTTCATAAATATGAATGATATTAGGATGTTGTACTGAAGACATTATTTGAATTTCTCGCCTTATTCTTATAAGATCTGCATCTGATTCGATTTTGGATTTTTTGATCGTTTTAATAGCTACCTGGAATTATAATGGATATTAGGTTTTTTTTTTGGAAACCGTATAAAACTTACCTCTTGTCCAGTCTCTTTGTTTATACCTAGTTGCACTTTACCAAACGTCCCTTGTCCTAACTTTTTGATTATATCAAATCTAGGAAAGAATAATTATTGATTAGTGGGTCACTAATCTAAACTCCACAAAGGCATGTTCTTGACCTTTTCAATTCAAATTATCATAATATGATGATTGATAATTGTGGAATACTTAGTGTTTACGCAATAGTATTTGAAAATTTAGTAAACTGGACTGCACTGGATAATCGCGCAAACAAATTGAAATGGAAATGAAAATTGATACCATAGGGTTGTCGAAACACACAAAAGTTATTACCACTCACCTGGGGAGCGTAAAACACGGAACCGGTAAAAATGCAACGTGCATATATCAAGTACCATTGATCTAGTGTGTGTAAATCCAAATCTTCAACAGCTAAGTATCTGCTTCGGTGCAGGATCGTAGAAAATACACTCCTGTGTGTTTTACGCGAAATTGACATTTAAGTAATTCTTTAATAAGAATGAGAAGAAACCAAATTTGTAAATAATGTTGCGTTAACACTTAGCAATCTTTTTTTAAATCTGGTCGTATAAAAAAATCAAAAATTGGCTCTGATCCAAAATGGGATATTTATGGATTTGATTGTTGAAATAGGAAATTTAATGTTCGAGTCGCTCTTTCATAAAAGTGGACCATTCAAGTAAAAGCAAATGAACTATATTTTGTATACTTATGAACACATAAAAATAATCAAATTTCACAGTTCCAGTTATAAAGTAAAATGGGAAAATTGTAAAACATCCAAAGACTTTCTAGATATTAACAAATTATAAACACATAAAATTAATCAAATTTCACAGTTCGAGTAATAATTTTTGCCTATAAAATAGAATGAATGCGTCACTAAACAAAAAAAGACACAGAAAACTAGGTGAAAATATTTCCTGGCATCAGATACCATTCAATTTTGGGTCAAATACCCATTATTTTGTCATACAAATAGCTCAAATAATTACAATTACATAAATCCTTGATCGGGTCAAGACCCAAAACCAACATTCTTCGATGAATTAAGCGCCTTGTTACATTAACAAATAATTATTTCCCTGGAAATTGGCCAAATAAGACTGTATCGATGCTTTGCCAAAAAATCGTTACGTATAATAAAAATATGTTACCTTTGTCTGAGTTTCTTTTTGTGATTGTGCTGTTTGACGCCCCCGGTGTTTTCTATGCCGCTCATGATGCTGTTGATTGCCGCCTCTTCAACACCCATTTTGATGGATTTTCTGCAAAAAATATTAACACTTTGTAGTTTTTGTATAGGACAAAAAAATCACTTATCCAAACAAACCGTAAATGTAAAATATTTGAGTTGCACAGTTTACTTAACATTGTATGCAAAGAGTTTCCGTTTTTTTTTGTGTTTGATTGGACCCAGAGATTCAAAAAATCCATAATTATTTAATTTATTACAACTACTAGGTCTAGAAACAACAACTAAAATAGATGACATTATATTGCAATAGATGCTAATTCAATTATCATTGGGTTGATGCTAAAATAAATCTCGTGGCAAAAATGTATGCTTTACCAGATCCTATTGCTTCCCCCAAAAACAAAAAGAGGAAAATCTTTAAAGGCTAATGTCAGGATTAACCAACACAACTATCAGTCGGTTTATTTTTAGCTCGTGTTCACTGGGTACTCAGGGAGAATACTTCTCTCGTTATTTTTATTTGACGATAGATTAAAATTAACGATTAACATTTCAGTGTATTGTTTGGCTTCGATCTAAATTTGTGTTAAATTAAAGCCCTATTTTGCTGGTTTGATTTATTCCAAATCCTCCATTTATGCATTAAAAGAGTGTATTTTCAAATTGGGATTTTAAAATAAATAAACATCAGTTTTCGAAGTGTGTTTTAGTTTTTCTGTTTTAAGCCGAAACTGGTGTGGAGTTAATGTTTTGTCTGGAAAGTTCAATCTTTTTTTAGGCTGATTCTTTTTTAAGAACCAATAAGAGGAAGAGTTTGAAAAAATGTACAAATCTGATACAAGGAGCAGAGATAATGGATAATGGAAAATAAATCTCAAGTGAAAAAGATATGAAAATGGCAAGGTTTCGCTGTCCATAAATCACAATACATCCTATATTGCAAAATTGAAAGGAAGTTACGATAAAATAATACTGATTTTGAATTAAATGATCTGAATGTCTGAAAACATGTACGCACATACATGAACGCTCAAACAAAAACATCAATGTGTAAAGGCGGTTACACACGGGCGTAGATGTCTTAGAACATGTACGTACATACATGAACGCGCAACCAAAAACATCAATGTGTATGCAAAATACCGTCGCGTTTTTGAATGTGCAATTTTGTATGCACACTCGGAATACTGTAGCAAGAATAGCAAGACTGCAGTTTTGTGCGAGCGTCTGTACAAAGGCGCCATGCACGTTGTTGTTTGCATGTTGATGTATGCACGTATATGTATTAAGCCATTCACGTTCGTGTGTAACCGCCTATTGAAAACTTTGAAACATAAACGCTTGACCCTGATTGGTCGCAAAATGAGGTGTTTCTGCAGGTTGACATGAGAACGAGTGTTCCGTCTTTGATACTTATATTATCATTTCCATATCATTGAGAAAGACAGAACACACGTTCTCCTGGGAACGCTGCTCCCCTGTTTCAAGAATAAGGACACTGGGATTATAGTGGAATGTTCTTTTCTCAAAAATCGGTAACTTACAGGATTGCTCATCCTAATAAGGTCGTGTTTATGTTAGAGCTGTGATACACGATACTAATGTAAATTATCATTAGTATCGTTGCTTTTATCGTTTATCACAGCTCCAACATAAAAACGGCCTTAGGCCTACGTTCGCCAATTTTCGAATCGGCAGTTGGTCTGAGTGTGACGTCATCACGATCAGCAGCTGATAATGGTATCGTCACCCGCAAACCTCGATGTGTGTGACTGTAAGTTAATTTTTTCGTCGATCTCAAATGTAAAAAAAGTGATTTTTAAGTTTAGGAATTCGTTTTTTTGACTTAAAACTACTCGGATAATGCATTTTACGATAAGAGTTGAGGTCTGAGGCTGACATGGCAGACACTTTCAGCTCAATATGCAGTCCTAGGTTAAAGTATTATTTAGGGTGTTCATTTGTACTGCTTTTCTTGCTTCAGCATAAGCTCATAGATAGCAGCTCCTAGCAGATTTTCCTGATTTTTCGAGCAGGTAGAGCAAGTACAAATAAATGGACAGCCTACTTGTTCTTTTCTTCTTATCATAGCTAAAAGCCGGTTTACTCTTTGATTAGTAGCAAGTGCAGATGTATAGTGCTTAAGATGTTTTCTCGCGGTTTGCACTACAGTTTAAACTAAACCAATTTGTAGATGACGTCATCACTTGTCAACGCGAGAAAATGGAAGGTCCTATCTCCTATGTCAACAAAGAACAACCTATGAGTCCGGTTCGAACTTTTTTGAACCAGGTTCAATGTGACGTCACTGTTTCAACGCAAAAATGTACAGGTTCGAACCTAATTGAACCGGGTCGTATTCATTCGAGTACATTTCGTACACGAAATTGGACTGACAGTAATGTAAATTAAATGGAGAGCATTCGAAATCGTATTAAATTTCGCATGCGAGAATATTCGAAAATAAGACCCCACAGAAAAACAGCGAAATAACCGATGGATCCATCGATGAAAAAAAGAAAGCGGCCTTAATACTCAACATGACAATTTGGGCGATCCATTGACCTGTCAAACGAATTTCAATATGGCCGTTCAGGTCAAAAACACCATGTTGTTTACATTTAGGTTACTGATAAAAATCGATGTAAAATTATTTATTTTGTAACATTCTGAATGTTTAGGTTTGACATTGGCATTGTCATGTTTGGCATCCACAAAAACAAGGGCCAAAAGGGCAGAATACAAATGCTTTTCTTATGAACATCACCACATTTGACTTGGACGGCCATATTGAATCACGTAATCTAGATTAGGCGAATTAACATTTGACACTAAACACTTGCAGTTAACAAAATGTAAACTGGCCTTCAACAAAATGGAAACCCGCCTTAATCAGTGGCCTTAACAGGGATGCCGGCCGATCTTTCATAAAAAAACGATTCTTGAGATCGATTCAGAACTGAAACTTGGAAATCGGTCATAAAAGAATCAATTCTTGAAGAAGATTCTTTGATTTCGATTGGTCAGGGCCCGGATTCCGAACCCACGATTCGATTATCGTCTATCTATTTTATATGGACGATACTATCGAATCGTGGGTTCGGAATCCGGGCTCTGTTCACACAGAAATCACAAACCATTCAGAGCGTTTTTGATTGGTGCAAATAGCCAACAACCAGTTTTCTGACTACATATTTTCAACGAATGAAATTCCCTCTGCCTGACTGGTCTGTAATTTCTGTGAGAACCAGACCAGACCAATGAACCAGACCCATTGTTAACAGTCTTGCCAACCTCTGGGTAACTACCTAAATTTTGGGTATCAATTCAATATGGCGCCGAGAGAATAACACACCTGCCAACCCTAAAGGCACGTTTACATTCAATACCCATTCAAATTGAAATCAATTGGAATTGAATGTAAAGGCACCTTCATGGTCGTCAAGTTTGTTCTGCCCAAGTCGCCATCTTGAATTATCAGATTCGAATCAAGGATAATACACACTAAAGTCTATACGAAGTCACTTGGACTATTCTCTGTCCAACCAACCTACGGAGTGACAAACAACAAAACCTTAAAAAGGTTCGTTACTATTGGTCATTTATCAGCCCGCTTTACACTGTAGAGTGATGTTTTGTAAGAATTTGAAATAAATAATGGCATAAATCAGTGTTCAGTGTAAACCTGGCCGCCATTTTGACTCTGTCATACCATACTCCGTAGGTTCATTGGACAGAGTTTATTATAAAAACTGAATCCCGGCATAAATTGGCTTTTTCTTTGTCAAACATGTGTGGTGTAATTCCACTGCTAAAATTAATAATCCAATGAACTAATCGAAAAAACTGGAGTAGGTAATACACTGCACTGCCTCTCACAGGGACAATCATATCGCCCCACAAAGCGGAATGAACAGCAACAGTATGTGGGCCAATCAGACGGAGATACAATGTTTTGAAATGTGCTTATTTTTCATACTCTATGACGTCACACATGCTCAGTATATCTATATATACAATACAATATTTGTTTAACTTTCGTAACAAACATATTTGGACAAAATAAAAAAATACATATAGATTTTTTTTAGATTTCCTACAGTTTGCAATAAACAATAATCAATTTAATTTTGCAGTAAAGTTCCCTATCATCTGCCTGGCTTCCAACGGTACGAGGAGCAGTCATCAGTATACATTTTGCTATATTTTTCAATATGTGATGCAGTATATTTGACCATACTAGTATTTTAGGCCTGGTTTAAATTACTTCGTATAGACTTTACTACACAGAATTGCTCGAGGAATTGGCCTAGTTTTTGGGAATCGCGGCAACCTTGAATCGCGGCCATATTGTGCAGCACCATTGACGACGTCATCAATTACGTCGTCAATTGTTTGCCGCGGCGGTCGTAGTTTAGAATATACATTTATGATGAAAAATCTTATTTATTATTGATTAACATAATAGGCCGAGTAATAGGCATTAGGCAAAGAGGAATATGTAAATGAGATCTGAAAAAGCCTTGCTTGAGAATGTTATAGCAGTGGTAGAACCAGTGCAGAAAAAATGTATTTTTGTCTCTTTGTTATTCAAGCGGTCGAAAAAGATACGAATATACTCAATGCGCACTAACCCTTCCAATGGAATTAGCTATCAATTAATGTATAAGACTACTAGACCAAGTATGCATAAAGCAGAAGCCCGCGGAATAATCAGAGAGTTCTCGTACTGTCCAAATTTCAAATACCGTAACGTTATTTATTATTTGACAAGAATGACAGTTATTAAGGTAAGCGTTAGTTGGGCTAACTGTCAAAATGTAAACAGAATAAGGGATTAGAGGATTTTTGTGTCTTCGTATCCGAGAACTATAAAATACCACGTAAAATACCGTATTGTTAGCGGTACCGTATTAGCATAGCGTCTGAGGCACGAGAACTTTCTATTACCTGTGGTGTAAACACCCTACGTCAAGGCGAGAAACGACACGCTGCCTACGTCATCACTGGTTTTTTGTTGTGGTGAGGGGCTTGAGATTTGATCTACCCAGGTCTTATGAGGATAAGCTATCCTGTAGTAGTAATGTGATATTTGGATCGAATTGCTTAATTCACTGAGTACCGATCTTTTACGAAAGAATCGATTCTTTGGATCGATTCAGAACCGAAACTCAAAAATCGATCATAGAAAAAATGGGTATAGTATTTTCCCAAAAAGATAAATAAAATAATAAAGTCTAATAAATTGAACAAAATAGAAAATTATTCTTCAAAAAACAATATGTATAAGAAACTGTATGCGGTTTTTTTTTTTCAAAATTTTCCAGTACACTAATGTCAATGGGCAAGGTTGTTTAAAAGCAACGATAATAGACACTACTACTTACTACAGGATAGCCTATCATCATAAGGCCTGTGTAGAAAAAATCTGAAGTCCCCCACCACGCCAAATCACCAGTTGTGACGTACGCAGAATGTCGTTTTTTCGCCTTGACGTAGTCTGTTTGCACCACAGGTTATGATTCCGCGGGCTTTTGCTTTATGCATGCTTGGTTTTACTACATTAATTAACATTCTAGAACGACTATTTTTTAGATCTTGTTTGTATCTTCCTATTTGTCTATTATTTTAATCAAAATTAAATAACATTTTTCATCATTAATTTAAATTCTAAACTATGACCGATGGCGCAAAAAGCTGACGTCGCTGACGACTTAGCTAATGACGTCGGCAATGGTGATACACCAATATAACGGCGATTACTAAAAACGAGGTCGATAAGCAATCCTTAGTAGTGTGTATAAAAAGTTACTTGATAACTTTTATGACGTCATCTGTATGCCTCAATATAAATGCAAAACTCCATGGTCCTTCTCGAAACAGGAGAGCAGCATTCTCATGAGAACGAAACTTCTGTCTTCGTCGCTCATATTCATATTTCCATTTTCCATAACACAGATAAAGACAGAACCTTCGTTCTCAATCTCAAGAAAACACCGTTCTCTGGTTACGAGAATAAGGACCCATAAGACACCCTAGATGCGTCATCAAGTTACCCATTACCAGACAACCTATTAACTTTAGGAACCTTGATGGCTAAAATATTTTCAAGATGGAGGCACTTCCGGCTATATCGGAAGTATACGTCAACTTGCTTATTTTAAATGAGACACCCTGTATGTGATTGGATATTTGGATTTTACGTAAAATTCAAAAATTCTGAGCAGATTTCAGCTTTGCTTTTATTCGAAATTTGTAACGGTTTTGGAATTGCGCAAAACTGCTTGCGCACAAAAAATAGTGGTCTGTTCTAATACTAGTTCTGAACCGATTCGGAACTGAAAAAACCAAAACAAGCTGCAAATCCGAGTGCAAATCACAAAATTTCAAAACAGTTCCTCCTTGATCAAGAACCGAGAGAACTGTTCTAGAACAATCCCAGAATTATTCTTATGTAGTTATAAGCCAAAACGCTGGGTCAAGTATAACTCCACTTCAGAGTAACCATTGCAACTGGACACGTTTACTTTTTCTGATTTACATAAATGACTGAGTATTGCAGGCAGTTTCACTTTGTTTGCGGATGACACTTCAATTTGCTGGATGGGAGACGATCCAGAGGTCTTACAGGCAGTTATCTGCACAGATCTGGCATCAATTAAGCAATGGTTTGATGCAAACAAACTAGCCCTCAACACCGACAAAACTAAGTTTATGACTTTTAATAAAAATTTAAACATCTCCCTAAAAATAGGTACTAATGCTATTCATGAGGCCACGGACTATAAATTTTTGGGAATTGTACTGGATAGTTCCCTGAAATGGGAAAATCACTTAAATAAGCTGTCAAAAAATTTGGCATCTGCTACTTATGCTATTAGATCTGCCTCACAAGAATTGGGTGACGAAGCTATATCACTAGAAGTGTATTATGCTCTCTTTGAGTCCCACTTGAGATATGGGCTTGTGTTCTGGGGATATGCAACAATCACGCGACTTAATTCTGTTTTCATTTTACAAAAAAGAGCAGTCCGAATAATTTCAAATGCTGATCGGCTAGCTCACTGCAAACCACTGTTTCAAAGGTTGCAGATTCTTACAGTGTATGACCTAATTATCTTTGAAAGCCTAATTTTTTTGCAAAATAAGTCCTCAACAGAAGCAAACTATACGCATAGTTACGAAACTCGAAATAGATATAGTTTAAGTTTACCCCAGTCTCAGATGGAAGTTACTAGGAGGTCAGTTTTTCATCTGGGTAGAGCTTGGTATAATGCAATACCTCTTAATATTAGACAACTGCCAATTGGGCAATTTAGGAAAAGAATAGGGGATGTGTTGGTTTCCTCTGCAAATTATTCTTTCGATGAATATTTTTGGAATTCAGTGCCAAGGCTGCTTACTCTTCAATGATTGCCTGGTATGTTTCCTGGTCGCTTCTTTGTCTTTTTTTGAATTGTACCTGCAGGTTTGTCTTAGATACTTGTAACTTTGTACTTTGTGGTCTTATCTGTATTGGATATGTACTGACAGTTTTATTGATAATTGCTATTGTTTAGCTCAATGATTTTATGTAAGCTCAGTATTCTTGCTGGGCAGTCATTGTTTTTGTATTATTGTATTATTATTCATATTGTTGTAGAATTAGGTGTGATTTGTGATCAATGCCATTATGGCTGCCCTGTACTTTTCTGTATGTACTGATCAATAAATTGAATTGAATTGAATTGAATAGACAAAGTTCAATACCCTGGAGTTAGAACCAACCCGGAGGCTATGAGAAACCGACCCAGATTGGTTTAAGTGATTTGTGATTTTTGTGCGAACAAACCCAATGAAAACAAAAATGGTTAAGATCGATTGGAGGGAAAAAGAATCGATTATAAAAAAAAATCAATTCAAAAAATTTCTTCCAGCCTTTCTAGCTATTTCAATCTTCACATGCTTTAAAAGGTACTATACACACACATACTATGTATACAGGGTGGAAAATTAAAAAGGATCCACCTGGATTTTCTCGAAAATTATCAGGAAATTGAAAAAACGCCGAAACACATCGATTTTGTTTGCAAGGGGGACATTTTTTGGCTATTCCAAAATTTTCCTAGATTGCATTGCCTTACCGGAATGAGTTGCACCCTCAAAAATTGAATAGGGAAACTGGGTCGAGTGGTACCTTGTTTGACAGGTATTTGAGATGACTTTACAGATCTGTTATTTATTTCGAAATCTGACTACTAGTTTTCAAGATATTCGCCTCGGAAGTTGCCATGGGGCGAAAAGAGAACATGTTTTTCGTACATTTTTACAAGAAAAAATTGAAATTCCTGAAACACGCCAATTTTGTTTATTTTGAACCTTTGATTCTTTGTTGGTTTGCACCTTTTGAACAACCTTTTAAACATTACCTACTTTTCATTTTTTCACGAAAAACACGTTTTCTTTTCGCCCCATAGCAACTTCCGAGGCGAATATCTTGAAAACTAGAAGTCAGATTTCGAAAAAAAATACAGATCTGTAAAGTCATCTCAAATACCTCTCAAATAAGGTACCACTCGACCCAGTTTCCTCATTCAACTTTTGAGGGTGCAACTCACCCCGGTTAGGGGGTGCAATCTAGGAAAATTTTGAAATAGCCAAAAAGTGTCCCCCTTGCAAACAAAATCGACGTGTTTCGGCGTTTGTTTAATTTCCTGATAATTTTCGAGAAAATCCAGGTGGATCCTTTTTAATTTTCCACCCTGTACATATACTTATTCATAAACCACTAAACAAATATAAAAAAACATTAGCTATATGACTAAACAAATACAAAATAATGTGTGGGAGTTTGGGGCAAAACCTGCAACTTCTTCGTACTCATTAAAAACCAAGTTAACCTGAAAATCGAAAAATTACACTGCTTAAAATGTGTGTGGGCATGTTTCTGGCAACCTGGCTGGGGTCGTGATAAATTATTGTAAAACAAATCACAAACTTAATTATTCATGATTTATAAATTATCTACTTTTGAGTCATACATTGTGCATCAGCTGGGAGTAAAAGAAATGATGATTCATTAAACAGAAGGTCAGAAAAATATCTATCTAGGGCGACCTTTTGATTGTAAAAAAAAAACTTTCATTTTCCTTGTGTTTCCATAAATGGTAGTTATGTTATTGAATGATAATAAAAATGATTCGATAATGTGCAAGTCAATACCCACAAATTATCAAGAGAAAAACCCACGTGCGATAGAATACAGATTTTCCCGTGGGTGTAGACCTATTTTAAAAAAAAAAATGCCTCCTCTTCATAAATTATTTAGGAGGGTTGGATCAATGGAATGTTATGTTAAGGTAACAGGAGGATGTTTTAGGTCTGTTCACAAACCAGTTAGTGGGTTATTTTTGATTGGTGTAAATGACTGGTTTGTGATGTTTGTGAGAACAAACCTATTGTTGAATATAAATAAAATTCTATTTTTCAACCTATTTGTCCTAACCTAATTATATTATTAAAAAGTAAAAGATCACTTTCTTCTGTTGATGAAATCACAGAGGAATTTCAACAAAACGGAAAGTTAATGGCAAAATATAAATAAATTGGATATTTACGTACCAAAAAAAAAAAATGTATAAATAAAGTAGTAGGGACAGGAGTAGGAATCCGCCCCGAAATAAGAATCACTTAAATAAATAACTAAACTATACGAAACACTGTTCAATGGTCTTTTTGCAGCGATTTTCCGCTCACATTTTCCACGAACTCGGCGAAAAACTCAAAGTTTTCCCGTAGAGAAACTGCGAGCACTGCACTGCGATCGCCATGTTTCTTTTCTGATGAATTTCTGCCTTGTTTTAAAAATAAATCGGCGGCTCGACTCGCGACATTGGAATCGGAATACCATTCTTTTTTTTTCTCAATTTTAAATTTGAATATCGGCGTTTGATTTTTTTTGTTGTTTTAAATTTTGTAGGTATTTTGCATATTTTTTTTTTTGTGCCAATTTTTCAGGGTGTCAATTGGAGGAGGCGATTTTATTGCAGTTCATTGTGTAATTTTAATAAATTATTGGTTGATTCATAAATTCATTGAATTATTATTCATAAAAATTTAAATTTAAAAATCTCTTGACCTATAGGAAGGCTTATCGATTCGATATATCGATATATACATCGATACGCATACGCCATTTTGAATAATATCGAATTTGTCATATCGATGATTATGTATCGATGAGGATCTGAGGATGGTCATCTTTCATATTTTTCCAATGAATGAATTTTGTAAATTGAGAAATCGAGAATAGTATACTCTATCTAGGATATACTACTACAGGATGGCCTATCCTCATAAGACCTGTGTGGAACAAATAACCCTCCACCGTCCCAAGCCAAAACACCAGTTGTGAGGTAGGCAGCATGCAGGGTTGCCAGATGGTTATAACTAATTTCCCCCAAAGGATTTCAAAAATACCCCAAAAATCACTGTTTGTCAACTAAAATCCCCCAAATAAATAAATATAGATTTATTCTCGACTCATACTTGCAAAAAAAAACAAATTCGTTAAATATTTTAAAATAAAACTCATACCCTTACCACTTTTTTATTTGTTTATATTTTTCTAATCCCAAAAATAAAATGACAATTGACAATTGACAAATGACAAATGAAATAAAATGTTGTGACTGGTGACAGAACAGATAAGTACAGTTGTACCAAGAAGTTTGGATAGTTTATTATTATATTATTAAGCTGTATTAAAATTTAGAATACAGCAACTTAGAGCACTACGCACTATAACCGCAAAGAAATGCAAAACGCAAAATAAAAAATAAACAATGCAAGTAACGTCGGTCATCGTTGGGGATTCCCCCGATCCGATTTGTCAAGTCAATTGTCATTACAAATTAGAATAGATCTAGAACTGAGCGTTTGCGTTCCTCCCGAGAAGAAGCAAACTGTATCATTTTTATTGGAACTTGATTGAAAAAATAGATGGCGCAGTTGTTTTAATACATTTTTTACTTTAGTTTTATTCATTGAAATATACCCAATTTCCCCCAATAGCGAAAATTCTTACCCCCAAAAAATCCCCCAGAAAAAACTATCCCCCAGATTTTCCCCCATCTACTTGAAAATACCCCAAATTTGGGGGAAAATCCCCCAATCTGGTAACACTGGCAGCATGTTCTTGGCCTTGCCTTAAGGCGGTTACACACGGACGTGGATGTCTGAAAACATGTACACACATACATGAACGCGCAAACAAAAACATCAATGGGCGGTTACACACGGACGTGGATGTCTTCAAATCAAATCAAATCAAAATATGCTTTATTGTCATAAAAAATTTTAAATTCTTGTTGACAAAGCCAATAAAATAAATAAAATATAAAACAATATGGTCATTGGAATTACACATGCAGTATTGAACATAAACTTAAAATGCTTAAACTAACATAATGCCTAACATGCCATCAAACGAATCGACAAGTTAAAAATAGCAAAAAAAAAAAAAAAACAAATATAAAAACAAAATTTGAATTAGTAGCACATACACAAGTCAAGCACATACACAAATTAAACTTAAGATTAAGACTAAAACCTAGGTAGACTTTTTGATGAAAAGCTCTGCTGAAATGAACGTTAAAACTGGTCATCCAGATACTCTGATACACTATAATAGTAATGCCTTCACTGTAGATCTGAACTTCCTTTCAAATTGAATATGCCTGATCTCGAGAGGCAGTTTATTAAACAATTGTCTAGAAGCAAATATTAAAGAATTTTTTATTTGTGAAGAGACAGGTATCGGCAGCTCTACACTGAACGTTCTCCGTGTGTTGTAGGTGTGTTGACTTGTCAAAATATTGTCCCTATACTTCCTATGTATGAGGCACACAGACTCTAGCATAAATAACGCTGATAGCGTTAACAATCTGTGCCTCACAAACAGTTCCCTACAAGAACTACGGCGCGATACCTTGCACATAAATCTGACTGCCCTTTTCTGCAGTAGAAAGACACTATTGAATAAACCCCTCGTACATGATCCCCAAAAACAAATTCCGTATCGCAAGTGAGATTCTATCAGTGCAAAGTAAACATTCCTCACAATGTGTAAATCTAGCTCATTCGAAAGCATCCTGATAGCATAAGAATTTCTTGACAATAAGGAGTTCAGATTCCTAATATGTGCATCAAAATTCAATTTACCGTCTATATATATTCCCAAAAATCTATTTTCATTCAAGTTAGCTAACATATTATTGCCTAAACCTACATTCCCTATCTCACATCTGAAACTCATGATGTTTGTTTTTGATAAATTCAGTGTTAAATTATTCGCATCACACCATTCCCTTATCTTTAAAACATCACCATTAATCACTTCTGTCAATTCTGGACCACTGTTACCGTGCCAGAGAATGGTAGTATCATCCGCGAACATTGTTAAACGGCCAGAGATGTCAAGGTAAGCAAAATCGTTAACATAAATCAGAAAAAGGAGAGGCCCCAGAACTGAACCCTGAGGAACTCCATAATGCAATTCTCTCTGCTCAAACGAAATACCATTAAAGCTGACACTCTGATGCCTGTTACTTAAGTAGCTCTCAAACCACCTTAGAGCTACTCCCCTGAACCCATAGGCCTCCAGTTGCCACAGCAGCGTTCCGTGACTGACACAGTCAAATGCTTTAGACAGGTCACAAAACACTGCTGCAGCAATCTCCCTGTTATTAAGCCCCAAGTAGACTGTAGAGCCCCTCAAGAAAAGCAAACACTGCATCCATCGTCCCTTTGGATGCTTGAAAACCAAATTGCTGTGGCGCAAGAATTTTATTGCATGCTAGAAAGTCAATCATTCTTTTTTTGATTAACTTTTCTACTACTTTGGAGAGTGTAGGTAACAGAGCTATGGGTCGGTAATTTGAAGGGCAGTTCTGATCTCCACCCTTATGGAGAGGAAGAATGTTAGCCAACTTCAGGCAAGCCGGAAATGAACCGGAGACAAAAGAAATATTTATGGCTTCCTCCAAAACACTGAGCACTGTGTCTGGAAGACAGGAAAAAACTCTCACAGACATATGATCCCAACCTGATGATCTGGAATTCCTTACATCCTTAAATGTCGCTTTGAGTTCTAAAATGTCGGTGGGCGCAATAAAAAATGTTGGAAAAACGCGATCATCCTTAAACAGAGTCTGGAAGTTATTCGTTTTCGGCAGTTGACTAGAGAGAATGTCCGCAACAGAGCAATAAAAAGAGTTCAAATCATCAGGCGTGAGAATAGAATCGACCTTATTCTTGCGCGACTTTCCCCTCATCTCATTAACAATATTCCACGTTTCCTTTGGAACGTTTGCAGAGTTCAATATTCTGCCTTTGTAGTACAACTGTTTGGCCAAAGTTAAAACCCTTTTGTAAATTTTTCTATATTCTCTAAAATATTTCATAAACGATAAGTTATCAAGGCTAAACTTTCTTATGTAATGCAACGATCGCATATTTCGGGACGAAATTCGAATACCCCTTGTCATCCATGGTTTTTTGGATTTTTTGTTTTTCAAACGCTTAATTGGAAATGATTTGTCAAACACATGGTACAGTCTATCATGAAAAATTTCCAATGGATTATTTTCATTCAAGATGCCCACCCATTCCTCTGCATTACACAATTCCCAAAATCTATCGAAGTTTCTTTTACTATATAGTCTACCATTCTTAAAACGTTTTGGTTTGTCTTTGCTAATTACTTCGAGTGTACAAATAATAGCTTCGTGATCTGAAATACCTGCATTGACTACCTCACATTTAACAACATTCATATCTGTACATAGATAATCGATTAAAGTTGAGGATGAGGGGGTTATACGTGTAGGACTGTCAGGCATGACACGCAGTCCAAAGGATAATAGCAAGTTCGAAAGCATTCGTGCTCCAGGATCAGCCAAATTCAAGAAATCGATGTTTAAGTCCCCACAGACAACAATCTTCGCAGCATCACCTATTTGAAATAAAACAATCTCGAGCTTATACAGAAAGTCCACAACCCTACTATTGGGCGAACGATATACACACAAAATATATACATTTCTATTCTTACAGTAAGCCACTGACAATTCAAAAACCTGTTCCTCAATTATCTGATCAAATTCATTAACTACTTCAAAATCCTCTGCATCACATAGTGCCTCATTCACAAGAATAGCTGTACCACCATAACCCTTTACTTGACGACAATATTTCGAAATAGCAGTATAATTGGGAATCACCAAATGTTCTTCCGACCTTAGCCAATGCTCTGTCAAAAGCAAAACATCAGGATAGCACATATCATCCAAAAACACACTAAGTTCATTCACCTTGTTTCTTACCGACTGTACATTAAGAAGAACTAGGGACAGGCCAGTGAAATTACTGGATCCCAAAAATTTTGATCCTCCAACCCAGGAGCAGCCCCAGAACCAACTGTCTTTTCCAAAACGGAATCGTTCTCTACGCGACTAGTCGCATTAAATTCCTCAGTGGTATCACCACTAAGATTGTTCACAATACCATGACTCTCAGTTAAGATCATGTTCCCATGGGATACAGACACATTAACTATATTAAAATGCAGCGATTAAAAGGTTCGTTTCTTGCTTCAATAATCCATCAAGTTTTAGGTATTAGTCTTGACAGGTTAGCTTCTTCTTTGGACAATTGATGTTTGTGCGCCCTTAGTTTAATTTTCATCCTACATTCAATATCCAGCATTTCCAAAAAAGGCCTGGCATCTCGGTAACTTCGGTGGCATCGCTGTAACCTCGGTCCAGAATAAATATATTATTACGTAAGAGCCAGTACTAATGGGAGGAGCAACAGTTGAGCTGGCCCAACAAATACGGCAAATAGTTTGCAAGTTAGAATCGAACAAGAAAATCTGCGGGTTAGAAATGCACAGTGGAGGAGCCTATACGAAAATCATGCCTTAGACTTTCCACATTTCGATCTAGAATATCTTAGGGATATAAATCTTGCTCCATCTGACATCCAGGATACTATACGCAGAGGAGCAAAGGAGTGAATAATGAATTGCAAATAGACCTGTTACTGAATTACCCCAATCTGAAAAGATCAAGAGTGTTTTCGCGCTTCAGAAATGCAGTTAGGTACCAGATTTTCATTGACTATGATTTTCATAATGAAAGAGGTCATTATTTTAGGTAAGTAGTACCTGCAAGTCAGGATCCGGAACGCTGGGAACTTGTTCACGCATAGCAGCAGTTATTTGGTATTCGGGAAAATATAGAATTTATTTTTATACATTAATATATTTATTTTATAACATATTTCTTGTAGACCTGTGTAATTCATGAATGATTCGTTCGAAAAGAACGAATCACTTCACTGAATCAGAAAAATTGATTCTTTGAGATGACCTGAACTAATTCACTTTTGCATCACTGCCACTCCGAATGAGTGGGACTGTTGCTGTGCGCCTCGCCGCTACGAAAATAATGAACGAACGAACGAAACGAATTGAACGAGAAAGAAAGTAAATGTAAATGTTAAATTAATGTTTGAATGATTGAATCAGATAGAGACAGAATTAAGACAAGAATCTCATGCTTGCATGGGTATTTCACCCATTGTTCGTGCCTTGTTCGTTATTCCCAAAAGCTTAACCCTCGCCTTATCGACAGTGGGTCAGCGATGACCCGAAATCTTATTTTCCAGGAATATCTTTCGGCCCCGCGACTTTTTTTCAGATATCTTCTGTGAATTCTCCTAATTCATGTCAAGAAAATTGTCTTTTGTATGATTTTTCCAAAAAAAAACAATTTTTCCCCAGAAAACTTTCTATGAGTCATGAATGACACGGTTTTGGGATACCTTGGTATACCCTGGAACCCTCCAACTCGACAAGTCGTGGCAAGCTTTTCTTACGTGTTTTCGGAATTTCTAGCTTTGTCCTTCAGTTTACTATTCACTTATTTTATGAATAGAAAGTTTTTTTTTTTTCAAAATTAATCAAAATCACTCGAAAAAAAAAGATTGTATCTGGGTCCATTTTGACCCTGTTCTGGGATTCCAAGTTTTAAAATTATTTTGGGGCGGCGAGGGACGCGAGGGTTAATTAGTTCATAAGTGAATCATTCAAGAATCACTTGTAATGAACGAATCACTTTTGGCGAACGACTCAAATGAATTAATTCAGAGAAAAGATTCAAAACGCCCAGGTCTAATTTCTTGCTTTCACAACAACACCCGGACTAATAAACAAACAGCACCTTTATTTCTATAATTTTTTAACATATCTACCTATTCACTAACACTATTTAAGTATTTCTGATCTTCTGAAGTTCATTTTCTCTATTTTCAATAGTATTTGACTAAATTATGTAAACGAGATAATATAATAGACAATTTGATCTTTGACATCTATATCCAAAATGACGTCTTTGAGAAGCTATAACTCGAAAACCCCTCGATAGATTTTTTTGCGTCCATGACAGCTTTTAATCAGGATAACGAGAAATATGTCATATCAAAATTTCAGACGATTTGACCGGGACCACTTTTCCTATCTTTTTGTAGCAAAAGTAGCAAGACTGACAGTTTTGTGCGAGCGTCTGTACAAAGGTGACATGCACGTTGTTGTTTGCACGTTGATGTATGCACGTATATGTATCAAATCATCCACGTCCGTGTGTAACCGCCTTTAACGTAGGTTGTTTGAACAGTTGACAACTTAGTTACGACGTCGGAAATGGTGACACACCAATATGGCGGCGATTACCAAAAACGTGGCCGATAAGCAAACCTGTAAGTGTGTATATTATCCTTGATATTCTATTACTATAGTGTGGAATAATCAAAATTCTACACGTAAACTTGGCTAAACATAAAACTGGTACAGGCAATATATATAATTTAAATTTGCCTAGTGTGAGTCAGACTTAACAACAAAAAGTCTCTTCTGAAAACATAGGCGCTAGACCATTAGACAGTTTTTGTCAATGTTAAAGCTGTAAATGGAACATGTTTTTAGGCGTATTTTAGCGAGAGTTTTAACCCAGTAGTATGTTGTATTTACTTGGGATTCTCAATTTTAGAGATAATGGCTAACATACTATGACGTCACAACATAAAACTCAGTTGTAAACATGTAACCATCCTACGAGGGATAGTTACTGGTAAGGGTTGTAGTATGTCAGTTGTCAGTGCATCTTTTTCTAATACACGCAGATCATATCGGCAAAACATCAACTGATTACGCTACGATTACCGACACAGTTCTTCCCATTATAAATAGAGGATTGTTTTTCCTCATTTTGCCATGGTTTTCTGTGATTTTATTTTAGAGGTTTTTTGCAAAAAAAAAAAATCTTCACTTGTGCACAAAAACACAATACAACGCAAAAGGAAAATGCCTAGGTACCAGTTTTACGTTTGGCCAAGTTTACACGATAGGTTTGTTCGCAAGCTGAAGGCGAGAGGAACGGCTATTCGAGTGTATAATTTTAAATTCCACACGTGTTTCATTAGACTATACTTTTTCTACAACTTCAAATGAAACAACGGAACAACCAAGGTTGTTTGAGACTTGACGTCATCCGGGGTGCCTCACCAATAGGTCCGTTTCCGCAGAAATCACAAAAGAAGTCAGATCGAATTTCATCAGTTGAAAACAGTCAGAAACAGTCATAAAACTAGTTTCAACCAATGAAATTCACTCTGACTGGTTTGTGATTTTTACAGAAACAGTCCTAATACAAATCTCCAATGAGGCACCTCAAACCTTAGATCCTCAAACGCGTCATCAAGTTACCCATTACAAGACAACCTATATAAACTTTAGGAACCTTGTGTAACAACCAATGTGAGTGTAGGCAATTTTTGGCGAGAATAATTAAGCATAATCCATAGAGGCATAATCTGATTATGCTGGCGGGTTATATGATGTATCAATGGTGTCATACTCCCACTCCCCTAACTCCCTCTCTATCAAACTCTTGGCCTGCGAGTGACGTCACTATCAGCAACATATAGGTAGTGGTGTTGCCGTCGCCCGCAGACCTCGATGGAATGCTTACGATTCAGGCTGTGCTAGTGAGTCTCCTCTATCCTCGAGAACCTTTAACCTCGAGTATTCCAGAAGTTTATGGTAGTGGAGTTAAGGGGGTTTTACATGCTGAAATAAATCTTGCAGTTAGACGGTGCAAGTGCAAGTAATGTCTGTTTTTTTTTTAAAGATAAAAGTCAAACTGACATTATGTTGGCAATAAAATCTGTTTTTTTTTTTTAAGATAAAAGTCAAAATGACATTATGTTGGCAATACAATGTAAAATTGTCAATGCTTCCAAATTTTTTATGTAGAAAATGCTTGTGTTGCCAACATAGTTACTAAATTTTTGACTTGGGGAATTATCTTTAAAAAAAAAACAGGCTTTACAATGTAAAATTGTCAATGCTTTCAAATTTTTTGTGTAGAGAAGGCTTGTGTTGCCAAAAAATCAGTACCAAACCAAAAAAACTGCCGATTTTCCCACGGTATCGAAAAAATTGCAATTAGGCTCGAGTGACCCTACTTGGCTTTTGAATTTGTTGAAATCTGTGGTTGAAATAAGTATAGGTATAGGATCACTTGAGCCTGGGAATTTTTGGGAATTGGCGGATTTTGCTGGTTTTGTACTGGTTTTGCTAGTTTTATGCTGGATTTTGCTGGTTTAGCTGGTTTTCACTGGTTTTGTGCTTGTTTTGTGCTGGATTTTGCTGTTTTTCACTGGTTTTATGCTGATAGTTTAGGTGCGGTTTTGTGAAATCAGCACATTTAAACTTGCTAAACCAGCAAAAAGACAGTGGAAACTAGCAAAATACAGCAACAAAACCAGTGAAAACCACCTAAACTAACATAAAACCAGCAAAATCCAGCACAAAACTAGCAAAACCAGTACAAAACCAGAAAAACCGCCGTACAAGTGACCCTATATTATACCTACCTACTCCGGAAATCAAGAAAAATTGAGCTGGGAAAATTAAGAAACACAGAAAAGGAATTCAAGGCGGATTGAGAGAAAGTTAGTAAACGAACGAAAACAAAAAAAGTATTTTCCTAAACAGCGTCTGAATTACGTTTGAACGTCTGAAGATCAAAAAAAGAAATCCATGATTTTTGGCTTGGGTTCAAGTTTTGATGGTTTCTGTTATTTTTTATTTTTTAAATTGTCGTTTCGGGGGTCGTTCCTTTGCTAAGGGCGGGTATTATAAAACTACATTGACAGTTAACTAAATGTTAAACTTCTGGAATTACAAGTATTGTCATAAATGTTAAATTATTGACAGGAAGAACTGAATCTGAACCCATTCGTCCGATAAAGTTAAGTCCGGAATTTTGAAGTTAACAGTTACCTAACTAACAAGGTGACACCAATGGCGTACTTTCGATCGACCTATGAATGAAGATTTATACGCAAATATACAAAATTATAGAATCAGCTGACATGAAATTAAGTTAATTCTAATGAAGGTAAAGGGGGTGTCGTGTCAGGCAAGGATGATACATATTACTTCTACAAACTATAGGATAGCGTATCTTCATACATAAGGCTGTGTGGAACAAATCCCCCCTCCCCCCCATTCCAATTCAGTTGTGACGTAGGCAGCATGTTATTTCTCGCCTTGGAGTGCATTCGAAATCACCCTGGGCGTTACACCGAGTGCACACCAGCCAGCCATGAATAATTCATGGCTGGTGTGCACTCGGTGTAACGCCCAGGGTGATTTCGAACGCACCCTTGACGTAGGCTGTTTCTGTTTAATGAGTTGACGACTTATTTATGACGTCGGAAATGGTGACACACCAATATGGCGGTGATTATTAAAAACGAGGCCGATAAGCAATCCTGTATATGTGTATCAAGGTTCCTAAAGTTAATAGTTTGTCTGGCAATGGGTAACTTGATGACGCATCTGGGGTGTCTTATAGAGATTTGCATTATGTTGAGGCACCCCAGATGACGTCATACATTTATTAGGCAACCTACAGTGGCTAAAACCTTTACATACAGTGGCGACAAATGACAATAGAGGTCCCGCCGCCATTTTGTTCCAAACCTCTTGTTACTTTTAAATATTAATATATAGGATTTAAATGGACATCATCTATCATAAAAAACTGTAATCGACGTATTTGGTGACTATTATTAGGTCCATCAAATACGTTGAGGTCATTGGTTGTTTTCCATGTTTTATAATGGATGTTCACCCAAATCCCATATATTCATATTTGAAATAAGCAATAAGTAGGGAAGTTCAATTGAGAAATCGAGAAAAGAAATTCAAGAAGAATTGAGAAAAGATTGGTACACGAGTAGACACAGCAAAGAAAAATCAGAAATATCGTATCGATATTTTCTCATTTAATATCGATTCTGTAACAAGTAGAGGCTGTGGTGTATATACGTATCGATACCCATTATGAATATTATGCTAAACCCCTCCCTACCAATCCAATTGTATCTAACCTCACTTTTCTTCTAGTTTTTTAAATTTCAAATTGTTTTGAAACGTGTGTGTAGTGTGTATTTTTAAAGTCTCCCAAAACTAAAAGTTATGTTTTAAATCAACCAAACATCCAATGGCTAGTAAAGTTTTCCTACCCTCGAGGAGCTTGGGGTATGTCAGCAATCACTTACCCCTACGTGTGCGCTACATAAAAAGTCGCCAAGAAAATCTCATAGTGACTTGTGTAGGCAAATCGTTTCATACTTATGGAATTTCGCATTTTGGGCTCTTAAGCGTAAGTCGTTTACATTCCGGAGATATAACTTGTATGACTACAGATGCCTATCATGTATACACGGCTTGTGAAAATGTTATTTACGCTTGGAGAAGAGGCACAGAACTGCAACACACTTACAGGTAATTTAGTTGCAAGTTTTAAACAATCTATTAATTATTAAAGAATTATTACAGAGGCCATAGTCAACCGATTATTCTCATGCTCCCCTTTGGGGCACATCTAATTTCTGTAGACGACAATGGCAAAGTTAAAATCTGGGACATAAAATCAGAAACTCTATATTTGGAATTAACATTTGATCAAAGCACTTTCGACATAAGTGCCCTAATGCATCCAAGTACCTACATAAATAAGGTCCTATTTGGTAGTAATAAGGGCCAAATGCAGCTGTGGAACCTCAGCAAAGTTAAAATGGTTTACAGCTTTAAAGGTTGGGATTCTGGTGTAAGTTGTATTGAACAAGCGCCAGCGATTGATGTGGTTGCAGTTGGTTTGGTAACGGGACGGATAATTTTGCACAATTTGAAATTCGATGAGAGTATTATGGAGTTTCAACAAGACTGGGGATTGGTTACTAGTATTAGTTTTAGGTCAGACGAGCATCCTATTATGGCAACAGGTAAGAAAATCTTCCTGTAATTATGATTGGGTTTCAAGAGAAATTTGGCAGGAAAACAAACATTCAATTTAACACGTTAATTGCCCAAATGGAACCTAAAAAAAGTTTTGACGGGCCCAAATTAAATTATTTATTCAATTGATAAATAATACACAATAATCATATATATTTGTATTTTTTTCCATATGTTACCAAAAAACAACCAAAAATATTACTTTGAAAATGAAACCCGGCTTTTGGGTTTCGGGGCCCTTTCTAGGTGTGAGCCTCAAAACCCAACTAGCGGTGTTCAAAGATACAAGCCTAAGCTTGATTACTATGTGCATGGATATGAGATAGTAGAAAATCTGTGTCCCGCTACGAAAAATTAAGTGCTGAACAAGGCAGAAAAGTAGCTCAAAGTAAAGGACCAGAGTAATGATTTTCTTACATACAGTGTAAATTTTTCTATTGTTTGTCCTGTTTTTGGACTGTGACAAATATATAGAGTAAGCATTTAGTTTATACGTTATTTTGATGTATCATAGATAAATATATTTATTCTGGTAATCCATGCCTTCTCTTACAATCAATAAAATGTGGTTCTGCAAAAAAAAATTACAAAAACTCTCAGGCTCATACATTAGCAGGGTCCCCCAGGTCCCTCTGAGAAAAACTCCATATATTGCAATGTTATTTGAAGCTCGGGAGCCGGGTGACAGGCTTTAAAGTGTACGCGCATGGTGACACCCTACATACAGGCTTCAGAACCTGGTTGACCACTAGCTCTGAAACCCAAATGTAGGGTGTCATGGCGATTAACGTGTTAATATTTAGGTATTCCTGTGTTTCACTGTTTTTCTATTACTTCGCTTCCCAGACAAAGAAAATTGAATCTCTAGCTGTTGTCAGTTTTTAGGTCAAGGTCTTTCTGCAAAACATTTTTAAATATCAGTAATTTGCAAGAAAAAAGTTCCATTAATGAATTATTCCCTACCAGTCTAATAAAGTGTAATTTTCTATCATAGATTTTTCTATTTTTGGTTTTTCTATTCTTACTCTAGTTCTAACTTCATTCTTTTCTACCAGTTTCTCCTCCCACTTCTTTTTCAGGTTTTTTTCCACCATTTCCTGAATGTTTTCTCTACACCTCTTTTTTAAATTTTCTCTTATTGTTTTTCCTCTTTTACCAGCTCCTCTATCATTTTCTTCCCATCTTCTGAATTATAAGTCACAGGGTTGACAACAAGTTAGAACATTTTTAAACATTTTCAGACGCTCTAGAACTTTGATAAGCTTCAGAAAATTTTCAATTCAATTTTCATTCCTCCTCGAGATCCTCCTGCATTTGTTTGAGACAAATTGGAATCTTTGAAAAAATTGTAAAACGTTACAGAACAGTTTATAGGTCCAATTTAGAATTTTAGCTCGAATTTTAGAATCATTCTAGAATGGACCCAGAACACTTTTAAACTCTTAGCAACATTTTAGAAAGCTTTTGGAACACTCTAGAACACTTTACAAATCGAGTTTTAGAAACAATATAAGACTGGCAACTATCAGAATATCTTGAAAATTATCACATGACACTCTAGAACTAACTTATAAATTCCATGAACATATTAGACTGATACTTTTTGAGCAATTTTTCCCCAGATTCCTTGCCCTTCCTTTGATTTGTTTCTCATACAAAAAATATCTAAAAAATCATTGACTATTTCAGGTAGTACCTGTGGTCATATAGTATTTTGGGACTTAGAAGAAAGACGCGTCAGCAGTCAATTACAATCAGCGCACGATGGCGCTGTAACTGGCATGGTTTGCCTGCCAAACGAGCCACTCATTCTAACTTCGTCCCCTGACAACACTTTAAAGCTATGGATTTTTGACATGTCAGACGGTGGAGCAAGGCTTTTGAGGATCAGAGAAGGTCATTCAGCGTCGCCCAATCACATAAGATTCCACGGGGCCAATGGGCATAATATTCTCAGTGCAGCCAGTGATTCTACTTTGAGAATATTTAATACGCAAACAGAGCAGTTTAATAAAAGTTTAGGCAAAGCTTCATATAATAGAAAGATTAGTAAAAAGCGGGGCAGAGCTGTTGAAGACCCTTTAAAAATGCCACCAATTTTACAATTCACATCTGAAACCACTAGAGATAAGGAATGGGACAGCATTGCAGCCATTCATTTGGGATTATCAATGGTTACCAGTTGGTCTTATGACAAGAAAAAAATGGGAGAACTTAAATTAGTGCCTGAAAGGTTTCAAAAGAAAAATTTAAAAAACAGACTTGAACCTGAAGCAACTTGTTTATGTTTAACTCATTGTGGCAATTTCGTTATTGTTGGTTACAGCACAGGACATGTAGATAGGTACTTAAAAAATACACATCAAATAATCAATTAGTTTATTAATTATTTTACAGATTTAATATCCAATCAGGTTTATGGAGAGACTCTTATGGAGACCCAAAAGCCCACACTAGTTCTATAAGAGGTGTAGCCACAGATGGTCTGAATCAAATTACAATTACAGCTGCCAATGATGGCGTTGTAAAATTTTGGAGGTTTAAAAATAAAGCCCAAGAGCATCTTAGTAAATTAAACCTTGAAGAATCTGTAAGCTTCTTTAGGTCTCACAGAGAAAGCTCTATGTTGGCAGTGGCCTTGGAAGACTTTAGCGTATCAATTGTTGATATTGACACTAGAAGAGTTGTAAGGAAATTTATTGGTCACACAGCTCAATTGACTGATGCTACTTTTAGTCCTGATTCCAGATGGCTAAGTAAGAATTTGATAAGTTTTGAGTCATAAGTTATTGAAAATTAAACAATTTTAGTTACTTCATCAATGGATTGTAGTGTTAGGACTTGGAATATCCCTTCAGGTCAACTAATCGATCAGTTTGCAACTGAAGCGGCTCCAATATCAATCGATATGTCTCCTACTGGGGAAGCTCTTGCTACAGCTCACGTAGATTATTTGGGTATATTTTTATGGACAAACAGAACCCTTTATCAAAAAGTGACCTTAAAAGCCTTATCTCCTCAAGAGGAGCCTCCTTTAGTTGAATTACCTGAAGTACTTCAAGAGCACAAAGAAGAAACTGCTGAAGAGCAAGACACAAATGAATTTATATCTCCTGAACAAATTAGTAAAGATTTGCTTACTTTGTCAGGTTTGGCCACTTCTAGATGGCAAAACTTGTTAAATATTGATTTAATTAAGCAAAGAAATAAGCCTAAGGCTCCTCCAAAAGCTCCTAAAGCAGCACCATTTTTCCTGCCAACTGTATCCACCCTGAGTAACTTCCAGTTTGATTTAAAAGATTCTTTGCCTACTGAAGATGGCCATGACAAATTACTAATGCCAGAGGATTTCACAAATTATACAGAATTCGGAAAGATATTGGACAAAAACAACTTCACTGATTGTATAGAAAAACTGAAATCCTTTGGCCCTTCAATGATAGACTTTGAAATAAAAAGCCTTGCCCCTGAAGGGGGAGGATCTGTAAAGCTAATGCTTCAATTTATGAAGCTTTTAGAATCGATATTTAAATCGAACAAAGATTTCGAGCTGGCAGAAGCTTATTTGAGCGTTTTTCTCAAGTCGCATGGCAATTTTGTGGCCGAACAAGAAATCTTGAGGAGCTTTTTGCCTAATCTGAGTAACTGTCACGGAGTTGTGTGGAAAAGGCTGCAAGAAAAGTTACTGTATGGAATGTGTGTGGTTTCAAATTTGAAAACTATGTGAAATTATGAAATAAATTTTTGTTTATTAGGTGTATTTTTTCATTCAAATAGGAAAATTTGAAAAGCTGCTATTCTGGGCTTTGTTAAGGCAGTGGCGGCGATATGCATAAGCGGATATAAGCAATGCTTATAGGAGCCTGGGAACAAAGGTGCTTCGAAATAAAATTGAGAAATATAAAGACTGATATCGATCGATAAATTTAACTGGTACATTACTTCCAGTTGCCGCCGCTGAAAAGTCATTAAGTAAATTAAAAATATTGGGATATTACTTGAGAAATTCCATAAGTCAGCATAGACTGCATGATCTTTCTATTTTGTCTATCAGACATAGCACAGCATCGAATATTTTACTCCAAAACAATTATCCAATAGATAATCAAAATTTGAACTATTACCGGCTCTTGATTCTCTGGAAACCTTTCCTAGAGCCAATCAAGAGTTGGTAATAGTCAAAATTTGAACTTTTATTAACTCTGGATTCGCTAGAGAATTTTTCTAAGGGCATTCAAAGCTCAAGAGCCGATAATAATAAAAATTTCGAATGATCATAAGCAGCTCTTAAGTTGATATTATTCAAAATTTCTTCTTCTAATTGGCCCAAGAAAAATTATCCAATAAATCAAGAGCCACAAATATTCAAAATTTGAACTATTACTGGCTCTTGATTCTTTGGAAAAACTTCCTAGAGCCAATCAAGAGCCGGTAATAGTTAAAATTTTGAACATTTATCAACTCTGGATTCATTACAATTCCTAAAAATTTGAAAAATCATAACTCTTATTCCAAGTCATCATTATTTATTAATTAATTATCTTGTATATGAATGTGTATAGATATTTTACAATTACTACAATTATTCAGTGTAACAGAAGGAACATTAGAATAGTTTAACGTACTATAATCTAAATTATCATTTTGCAATGAAGATATCTCAATTGAATTTTCATTTTCAACAACTAATGATTTACTAGATGAAGATGTTGATGACTGAAACGATGAAGGTTCTAATATGATTTTTTGATGAGTCGCTTCTTTAGGTTGTTTTGATTTAGATGAATATCTCCAGGCAATTGGTTGCCTTGAATGACTATCACCCAAAAGAATTGAAGAAGTCCTTCGAAAACAATGTCCAGTATAAAGTGAAGGTTCTGGAAGCCCTAAAAATTCAGCCATTTTGGTAGGCATGCTACCAAAGGTATTTTTGCCTACAGGTTGACTTGAACACTTGCCATTTCTGTAGTTCAAGAAGAACCTTCTGTGTTGTACATCTTTGGGGCGTAGCCCTGCATATTTGCGGTAATATTTAAGAAAGTTTTGCTCATTGTTGACCACAGTGAATGTTCTACAAGATTTCTGTAATGTTACTATTAATACACTCTCACAGTCTTGGATGTTATCTACTTGAAGATTGGTTAGCTCTTCTCGGCTGCAACCTCCATATATTCCTAGAATAAGGGCTACCTAAAATAATTATTTTAAAATGGTTGTTTGAATGAGTGACTATTGTTTTTACCTTTGCCATTAAAAATGTATCATCAGGAGCTGATTTAATGAATCGGGTTACTTCTTCTTTTTTTAATACTTTGGACTTTTTAGGTTTCTCACTTCCAGCTTTGCTTTTCAAAAATGAAATTAAGTTGCCAAATTTGCCAATGTTCAGACCTCTTTCCACGAATATGGTTGACTTGAGCATCGAATAAAAAGTCCATAGGGACGAGCCTTTGTAGTTTTTGGATTTTTCTGAAAAGTAGGCCAGCAGGACATTTTCTGTGATGGTTTCAACGTTTTTCTGAGTGCACCAGTTTGTGAAATTGCCGTGTGCTCTCTGGTAAACGCTTTTTGATTTTTCTGGCAGAATGGCTTTCGATTCTTCGGTTTGAGGATTTGGAGATGCAATATCTTCGTCCAAGGACATTTTTACCTTTTTAGGACAAGAAGAAATGAATGGTTGTGAAGCATTCAATTTCTATGTTTTCAACTAAGTATTCACATTGGACAAAATCTCTATTAAATACTTACAATTTCCTGAAATTGTATCCTTTTAATTAAGCACCTGTGCTGTCCAGGAGCCAGGAAAGTTTCTACTATCTCTATTTGTTCATCAGTATTCTAAGAAATTCTTGATTCCTAGGCGACTGAGTACTTAAAATGCTAGAGTAGAGGAAGCTCTCTACATAATTAATTCTTATTTTAAATAATTAATTTTCAAGTTAAGACTCCTAGCCATTCTTTGACGGTGACAATGTCAATATCGAAAACATAAACAAAGCTGCCTATTGGTCGCAAAATGCCTCACGTGATCTTTTCTACCAATAAGCGTCGAGCATCATTATTTATGCTTTCAATGTTGTCAATGTGGAGTCTATATTGGAATAAAAATATGGGATAATTGTATTTTAAGTATTTTGCTTGTGTTTTTATTTATATTTTCTTTGCTTGTTTTACTACAAAAATACGCTTTTCAAAAATCTACTAGTTTTTGTCCATAGCCTACTGTTAACAAAAATATCCATCTGGCAACACTGCAAAGTACAGCATCAACAAAACAACATAACATAACCCAACTTTTATTTATTTATAAACAGTCTTAAAAATCCAACTAAAAATGTTCAAATCCAGATTCCTAACTCAAAAATCGTGTTCCTATCATATCTGGACTCAGCCCACCGGCCACAACACCTCAATCAACATTTACAATTGCGTAACGAGAAAAATCGAACCCCTAATAGTGAAAAACAAAAATGCAGTTACTTGGTACACTTGCGGCCCCACAGTGTACGATTCCTCGCACATCGGTCATGCTAGCTGCTACGTGAAACTGGACATAATCCAGAGAATATTGAAGAATCATTTTGGTTTGAATTTGGTCACTTGTATGAACATCACAGATGTGGACGATAAGATTATAAAACGAGCCATCGAATTAAAGGTGGACTATAAAGAAGTGTCCAAGCAATACGAAAAAGAATTTTGGAAAGATTTAGGCGACCTAAACATCCCTCAACCTGATGTAGTAGTTAGAGTAACAGAAAATATGCCTTTAATAATTGATTTTATCAAAAAGCTTGAAGAAGAAGGCTACGCCTATAAAACCACTGACAATTCAGTTTACTTTGATTCTTCTAGAAGTTGCCATTCACCTGGCAGGCTACAAAACATTAACGAAATCGTTTTGGTACCGTCAAACCCTCACAAACTGGCACCTGCAGATTTTGCCTTGTGGAAAAGCTTGAAGAACCAAAACGAACCATTTTTTGATAGTCCTTGGGGCAAAGGCAGACCTGGTTGGCATATAGAATGTTCTACATTGGCCTCGCACATTTTTGGTTCAAATATTGACATCCATGCGGGAGGTTTGGATTTGAGATTTCCTCATCACGAAAATGAAGAAATTCAAAGTTGTGCATTTCACGATAATCACCAGTGGGTGAATTATTGGCTGCACACTGGCCAGTTGCACCTTAAACATTCAACGAAAATGTCTAAAAGTTTAAAAAATACAATTTCTATTCAGGATATGTTAAAAGATGTTGAACCTGATGTGTTTAGATTGACTTGTGTAATGAATCAATATTCAAGTCCTATGGAATATCATGCAGAATTACTAGATACTGCTAAAAATGTTTTGAAATGTTATAAAATTTTTTTGGTTGCTTGTAGGGAAGTTAAACAAGGATTTATTAGGCCTGTTTTGAATAATGATGTTTTGTGTGAATTGTTAATGAGGTCTGTTAAGGAAATACATGAGGCTTTTTGTGATAATTTCAATACTCCTCGAGTAATTCAAATTTTAAATCATATAGTATCAAAGATGAATTGTATGATAAATTCAGCTGCAAATTATCAAACCAAGACTACTGATAATGTATATTATCTTGTGGCTATTGAAAATTTAGTTTTAGATACTTTAAATACTTTTGGACTTGATTTTGATGAGGCTAAAAAGTTGCAAAGTGAAGATTCTACAGAATTTATAAATTTGTTGGTGCATTTCAGGCAAGAAGTTAGAAATTTAGGTTTACAAGATAGAAATAAGGATTTGTTGAAGTTGTGTGATAATTTGAGAGACGATTTGAAAAAGGCTGGATTGAGCATTAGAGATCATGAAAAACTATCTTCTTGGAGTAGATAATAATAATTATTTATAAATAAATAAATATTGATTTATTGAATTTGAAAATTGAAAAAATCTCGTTTACCATAAATAACAAACCAATCATGCGATTTGGCAACGTAGCAGAAAAAAATTTGAATGTCAAACACAACAGAACAAAATGTCAAGTAGAAATATTTTGATTTGTCTAGCCAAATTTAAATTACCAAAAAATAGTGTTTTGAGCGGACAAAATTCGGTCAGATACTATTCAAGAAAAGTAAGCAACACTAATGGACCATATAAAATAGTAAAAGGCAAAAGACCTGAGCCAGGTAAAGTTTAGTAGTTTAGGTTATGGGTGATGCAACAAAAACAAAGTTTTTTGAAATTATTTCAGATTCAAATTTGGTATGGCGTGATCCCAGCTTTGAATTGCTTGCCTCTAATGGGTTTCCATTATTTCTGAGAGGCAACATCGGTTTGGCCTGGTACGACACACAAACCACAATAAAAACTCACCATGAAATCATTATGGAACAAGTTGAAGATACAGGTGACAATCCCGATTCTGATATGATTTTGAGGGTGCAAACTTGCCCTACAGTTTTGAGGCAAACTGTTTGCGAACTGTTTCCTTACAGGACTCTAGAAAAGAGTGAATTGTCTGTTATAACGATTAATTTGAAGCCAGATTTGAAACAAGTTAGAGTCAATAAGGAAGTGGAAACTGAAAAACTTGCTCAAATGGTAGTAGCATAGACTTATTTGAATTATAATTGATGTGTTGCAATTTTAGTTTTTAATTACTGCCAAAAATATTTGCTCAAAACTAAGAAATAACGGTTACTGGGCTGATTTCATAAATCCATTTTCTGGTCGTCCTTATTTAGTCCCTAGTGGCTCAAACGAACTATACAAAACTGATGAGAAGTTTAGATGTTTGGATTTTCAAATATTTGAAATTGACGAATGTAAAGTTGTTTCCAATGAGGAGGGATTTATAGCTAAAAGATTCGTAGGTAGGTAGAATGTTTTTAAAAAGATGATTTTTGGTATTTAATTTTCTGATTTTAGGCAGCCTTTTCACTAATGCACCCTGCAATAAGCAACATTTGAACGCCATTTTTACGGACGCAAGAAATTAGTCAAAAAAAAAAAAATACACTTCATTATTGTAAATGTAATATAATTAATTTGAAAAAAATATTTTTAATTTCAAATTCTGCGCCATTTTTATTACAAGTGACACTCACCTTACACTGTTGCCAAATTACTTGCTGTCAAATTTTCGGACAAATGGGAACCATTTTTCATTTCGGGTCCTTTTCTAGCACGTTAAGCGTCGATGATGGCGTTCCTCTCTAAACATCGTTAGCCGCCATTGTGGCTAGATGAATATCGAGTCCAATGGATGTGGTTTTGCTAAGTCGCGCCTATTTTATTGTATTTCGCTTGGAAAAATTGTCGCAATCGTGGTGAAAATTGTTTTAATCGGTGAAGAAATGTGCATTTTACGTAACGGTGATTCGTATTAATTTCGGGCTGAAAAATTGGTGAAATAAAAGACATAAATGTCATTGAAACTAACCTAAAAACTATGGCTTGGGGTTTTTGTGAAAATTTTGGAGTTTATTGAGTTTTGGTGTAGTTTTTCTAGCTAATTTATCTTAAAATAGAACCAATTTCCACCAGGGAAAGTGGCCCTGAAGTTTCCCTTTAGCTAATCTATTTATTGAAAAATTAGTCAATAATGCTACTACTGTATTGTGTTGTTTGAATTTGGCACAATTGTATAAAATATCTTTGCCACAAAACTTTATAATGAGTATTCAAAATATAAATTTATAGTGTTAATTATAAAAGTGACAAAAACAGTCCAAAATGAGTAAAAGAAAAAGAACTAGTTCAATTGTAAGTAGTAGAAGTGATGACTCAAATGAAGCCTCCACTAGTTCAGGACCTTCAATGAGAAAAAGGAAAAAATTATTCGATCCAGTAAAAACTTGACTTATTTGCACAAACCTATATACTTAAAACCTAATTTTTTTGTAGATTGAGGCATGCCACCAGTTGTATGATATCATAAGAAATCACAAGAAAAACGACGGTAGTCTTTTGTGCGATTTATTTATCAGGGCCCCAAAAAGGAGACAAGAACCTCGTTACTACGATGTAGTCAGCAATCCCATGGACTTATTAAAAGTCCAACAAAAACTCAGAACAGACGAATATAACAATATACATGACCTGGAAGACGATATAGAATTAATTGTAACAAACACAAAAGCGTTTTATAAAAAAAATACACCAGAATGGAGGGATGCTGATGAATTATGGAACTTATTTCTAACCACAAAAAACAAGTAAGTAAAATCTTTAATTTAAATTATTATGCACTAATTTTATATATTTTTAAGAATATTAAATATAGAAAAACCAAAACCAGCCAAAAAAACCCTCAACCACAATAACAAACCTGGGCCTGGTAGGCCACCAGGCAGACCTCCAAACAGTGTAAAAAACAACCACAACAATACCAATAATTCCTTTAACATTCTCAAAGGTGACCCCCGCCAATATGAAGAATTATTCAACATTGTTATGACTGCAACAGACGACAATAAAAAGCTCCTCCATACGCATTTCCAGCTATTGCCTTCAAAATCCAAATATCCCGAATACTATGAGGTCATAGAACAGCCAATAGACCTAAGAAAAATTGCTATAAAAATCCAAAATAATCAGTATGTGAATTTGCTGGCCCTAGAAAAAGATTTAGTTGTGATGTGTAAAAACGCTTGCCTCTTCAACGAGCCCAATTCACTTATTTACAGTCACGCCAAACAACTGAAGAAAATTGTAAACGAAAAACGTATAGAGATTATGGAACAGTGGAACAAACCCCGGTCCTCTCCTATTAATAAAAACGATGATAAGTTGAAAAATAAAAGACAGAAAAACTACATTGCTGCAATGGCCCAACTTGTAAAGGATGAATTTGATTCAGATTCTGAGTCTGATTCATCAGAACTTTTGTCTGTTAGTGACTCAGAAGAGTCTGTTAAAAGTGAAACGCCAGTGAGACCTGTTAGGAGATCTGTTGTTGAACCACATCAGCAACAAGAGGATTTTGTAAGTGAAGTTGATTAGTACATTTTTCGAGGGGTCAACCACTTCCCGAAATACGTGTACATTTGGCCCGAATTACCTCCGAAATACTTCAAAGTACCTAGAAATACCTTGAAGTATCTCGAAATACCAGGTATTCCCGACGAAGTACGCGAAATCCCATGGAATTACCGTCGAATTACACGAAATACCCTCGAATTACCATGCAAAGTCCCGCAATACTTCTAAAAAATTTATTGTTGACAACGATTCTTCTTGCAGATCGCAAGGAAGTATTTTTGCTCGGATTTTTAGGTCTTTTGATATGATGGATTTTATTTGGACACACAGGATAGACAATTAAATCAATAGTTAGTGATGCAAGTGACTGTTAGTTCTACAATGCTGTTAGCTACAGGATCATCCAACAAGGACTGAACAGGGGCAATTTTTGACTTTCCCTGTATTTTTTAGAAAATCCAAAATAGCCAATTGGAATATTTTTTTTTCTGGAGAATTCAAAAATGGTACCAAAAATCGATTGAACCAAAAACCAAAGTTACGCCATGGATGAATTGTTTCTTAAATAGAACGTCGTCTTTTTTTGTATGATTTTTGGAAAAGTCTCATTTTTCACGTCTATTCTGTTGAACATACATATTTGATATTCCGATTGCTGTTTTTATTTTAATGTTTTATGCTCGGTTTTATGCTTGATCATTTTAGCTAGACCTATTGGATTTAATTGGTTCATAGGTGATAAAGGTATAATCTTTGGACGGACGCCAACTCGGCACTTTATTGTACCTAGGTAAAATTTAAGCCCTTGATCGACCGGCCAACTGGACACCAAGACTAAATAGAGACCGGCCAATTCGACACTTTACCTGGGCCAACTCGCCACTTTATTGAACTCGCCAACTGAAGGTTTCTAGAAAACGTTTGGGTGATAAAACTCACATAATAATTAATCTAAAAAAGCTTTATTTTAAATGAATAATTTTTCATAGTTATTTACATTACAAGTGCGTTTATGAGTTTCGTAGTCATGTTTAAACGTACGTGTGATGTACAAATTTTAATCTACAAAGCGAAAAATAAGAATTTTTTTTTCAATCATTTTCGTTTATTAGTCGTTGTATATCTCCATTTTACCTTTACAGGTTTACCTTGGACATTTGTCAAATCACCAAAAATAGTTGTGTAATGAATTCATAACCTTGTCCATAACACCACTAGTTGTGTTATGAATTCATAAGCTGGTCCATAACACAACTAGTTGTGTTATGAGCCTCATGACATATACCTATACTATATACCTACTATCACAAAGTCTATGCTATTGCCTTGTTATTCTTGTACAAACAAAAAAAGCGGTAATATTCGTTTAAAAGTTTTTTTATATTTTGGATCTACATATGTGAAACTAATTTAACAAAATTGTACTCAGTTAATTCATTATTATCAAGTGCCAGGATTTTTTGATTTAAGAAACATTCTGCTTGTTTAACTTTTTTAGTTTTAACAATAATAATGGTATTAATACTTTGAATTTTTACATAAATCAAGCATTGATATTCAATAATGGTGGTCTCTATTAGGATGCGCAATGAGAATGAAGTGACTCGCAGGGGTTAGTTGTTGAAAATAGATTACTGCTCTTTGAAGCCCTCATCGAAGGAGGAAATGCTGAATTTTCTGAGATGTAATTGTCAATTTTGGGGCATAAAATACCTATGCCAAAATTAATCCCCTAAGCAATAGAGTGCTCAGTTGACCTATCCTCTAGACAATAGAGTGCTCAGTTGGCCTATCTCTTAGGGGCTCTTTGAAAATTACCTGCGTTTGATGGTGTCGAGTTGGCCGGTCTACGTTTATGACCTCAAGAGTTTGGTGCCCAGTTGGCCTGTACCCTAATCTTTGTATTTTGTTGCCATGTATCAAACAGGTAAAGCTTAAATTAATAAGAATAAAACATTAAAATAAAATAAAAACAGCTATCGGAATATCAAATATTTTCAACAGAATAGATGTAAAAAAATGCGACTTCTCCAAAAATCATACAAAAAACAGGGCGCATTCCATTTAAAAAACAGCTCATCCATGGCGTAAGTAACTCTGGTTTTTGCTTCAAAGGACTTTTTGGTACCATTTTTGAGTTCTCCAGAGAAAAAAATTCCAATTGGCTATTTTGAATTTTCTCAAAAATACAGGGAAAGTCAAAAATAATCCTCTGTTCAGTCATCGTTGGATGACTCTGTACTATTAACTAATTGACATTGATTACTAATACATATCAGATTTATTGCATCCATTTGTTTCAATTAATCTGCAGTAAATTCAAAGTATGTCAACAGTCAACATATTTAGCCTGTTCGAAGATGGACTATAATTTTCATTCTATAATATTCCAATTTTAAGTGATAAATAATTAATTGTTCTCAATGCAAAAAAAAAACAACTTTAAATAGCTCGAAATACCTCAGCTTACGCAAAATACTTCAAATTTTTCGAATTACCTCGAAATACTTCAAATTACCTCGAAATACTTCGAATTACCTCCAAATACTTCGAAGTACTCAGCAATACCACAAAAAACTAGGTTCGAATTACCACCACCGAAATACTTTGAATTTCACGAAATACTTGCGAAATACCGACATTTTCGCAATACGTGTACAAATTTTTACAGGGTGGTTGACCCCTCGACATTTTTATTTAGTAAAAACATCTTAATTTACACAATGGGGTTAACAAAAACTCAAGTTTTTGAAAATTTCTATTGGGTTTTTGCAGGTTACTGTGATAGTTTTTGTATTTTTTTATGGTTTTTGTCTTAGATTATATATAGGCTTACTTTACTTAGCTAGATAAAATTATATAGGTCTGGCAAGTTAGCATCTTACAGACTGATTTTAATGCAAAATGTTTAGAAAAAGTCTAATATTAAATAAAGAACCTTTTCCCCTGTTCCACCTTCAACATGGAGAGCTGGGAATGGAACACTATTGATTGTCAATGATTTTCAGGTATTTTTATATAATTACCAGGTGATTTCCATTTTTTCTGGGGATTCATATATCATGCCCAATTGATTACCTGATTTCCTCA